TTATCCGGGGTTGGTTTGGGGGGGGGGGGGGGGGTGCACTTTAAAAAAATGTAAGCAAGCTACTTCGTTATTCATAAAGATTTTGTCAGTTCTGTTTTCAGTACCTGAAATTTGAAAAGGACAGACAACATCGTGAATTCTAAATGCAAATTCGTGGTTATTGTTTTATTATTCTTGTTTATTGGATTGAGAAAGGCTGCAACATTGTGTTTGGTCTGCTGCTTATAAAACACACCGTTACAGGTTAATTACAAAGTTGTATCTGTTCAATACCTAATTTTGAGAAATCTGATCTAAAAATCTTTAGCTGTACAACATATAACGCTATGTCGAATTTTGATAGAGCAGATAGAACATTTGGTTTCTGACTTCAAGGTCTTAATAACGCAAAACGACCAAAATTGTCATTAAAATCTTTGTAATTCTAAAGTAGCGAAATGTGTCCTATGCGCACGCCCTGTCCTTAAAATAATAAAGTTAATGATACCTTAACGCTTGACTCACCAACATGGTTGAAATGACGACACGGCTGGGGTTCAAATCCTCGGACATCCAGCTGGGGTAGTCGAAGACGTCATCAAAGACCTGCACCACGTTAACTAGTACTGTTTCAGAATCCAGTTGCTCGCGGTCCAAACCAGTTTTACAAAAGGCCCGCCCCTGATGAGTAACCTTCATGAACGTCGCCTCTACAGCAGGTTCGTATTCAAATCTCGGCGTCTGCAGGCTTGAAATGGCGTGAGCAGTGGTGCTTCTTGGGCGAGAAATTATGATGGACGGGTCTGTGCTATTGAACTCACCCACGGTCATGTTCACGCGACTTTGGGACATATTGACGTTTGTTGATGCGTTGAAAGGGGATTCCGACAGAGATGAATTTTTTCCCTCGGAAATCCAGCTCCCCTTCAAGAAAGACAAGTTGCTATAGTGGGCGATGATGACGTCCGATAGAATGTTTGAAAAACAAGAAATCGCTTCCGCACTCCATGGCTCCGGGCCGCTCGTATTTGTTTGGGAAAAGCTACCGTTTCGTAAAAAGCTACCAGTTTGGATTTGGGAAGAGTTACCAGTTTGAGAAGAATTGCCAGTTTGAGAAAGGTTACCTGTTTGGGAAGAGTTACTAGACTGAAAAATGTTGCCAGTTTTGGAAAAATTACCAGTTTGGGAAGAGTTACTAGACTGAGAAAAGTTACCAGTTTGGGAAAAGTTACCAGTATGGGAAGAGTTACCAGTATGGGAAATGTTACCCGTTTGAAAAGAGTGTCCACTTTGGGAAAAGTTACTCGTTAGAGGTTGGGAAACGTTACCAGATTGGAGAACGCTATATGTTGAACCATTTCCAAAAGCAGCATAGTAATTATAGTTAGGATATGAAAGAGAACTATTGAAATATCTGCGAGACCTGAGTGTTGATTTGTAGCACTGTCCTAAAAACTGGAGAAAGATTTTTATTGTGGTCTCATCAGCGGCTTTTGACAGCGAGTCAGGAAAACCTGCAGGCTTAGGTAAACTCCTCAAACACGTCGGGTCAATTTTGTGGACGGTGTCGTTCAGTGTTGTAGTATTTACTGTGTCCATTAGTTGCAGCCAGAGGTCTAACCTGAGTGCTGTATTGTTACCCGATACCGCAGTGATTTTACTCGTGTAAGCGTTTAAAGCGCTCTTCGTCATATTACGTACGAATGTGGAAAAGTTCAGTACCCGGGACATGTTGCTATAATTAAAGGAACAGCACAACATGAAGGTACTCATTTTCTGAGTGCAATTATTCGCGTCAAGAAGCTTCGATCCGTTGCCCGGTGTGGATATGTTTGCAGAATAACCACCTGACACGTTGCACACACTATCTAAACTCTTCCTGAAACGTAGACAGCTGCTGTTGTCGAATGTTGTGCACCATGAAGAGAAAATAACGTGAATGTCTAGTGGTCCCATATCGGAAGTCGTGTTTGTTTTCTTATGGTTGTGTACATCTCTCTTCTCGTTGGAGTTGTGAGGTCGGGGGGCCAAGTGTTGGTGTCTGTCACTGTGTTCTTTCTCTTGTTGTTGCTGTTGCTGGTGTTGTTGCAGTTGTTGTTGTTGGTGGTGGTGCTGTTGTTGTTGTTGTTGTTCTTGTTGCTGCTGTTGTTGTTGTTGTTGCTGCTGTTGTTGTTGTTGTTGTTGTTGTTGTTGCTGTTGTTGTTGTTGCTGCTGTTGTTGTTGTTGTTGTTGCTGCTGCTGCTGTAGTTGCTGTTGTTGCTGTTGTTGCTGTTGTTGCTGCTGTTTTTCTTTTCCTTTTTTTTCTTCTTTTTGTTTTCGTTGACTTCGGCGATGATGGTGCTGTCCTCCCGACCCATGGTGACGTGCAGCATTTTGCGAATCACAAACGACGTATTCTCTAATAAACCTCGCCAGCACCTCCCACGGATTCCGAGCGGGATGATCCGTCTGGTGGATGCCCTGAGAGAAGGCTCTCTCGAAGCAGTATATGTTCACGATATCCTTGTCGTTGTTCGCGGCGCCACTGTCATGGCCGTTTCCCGCGAGGCGGTGAAGTGTCGACCAGGGCAAAAGCTCCAAGCCAGAACTGTGCGCTTTTGTGACGTTCTGGAACATTCTTTCAGCTAGGTGGAACCAGTTGTACGAGTTTGCGTCGAAACTGTAGCTGCCCATCGCAGTCTTACTCTTAGGTCCATTTCCGTTGTCTCTAGAGTCCCCCACAGGCGGTTGCGGACCTGATACTGACGTCACGTCGGCCCCACAAGGGTCCTCTAAATCACGAGGTGGGTGAAAAACCTCCTTCAAACTCCTGACCAGTTTTTCGACGTGGTTGGGCGAAAACGTACCGTTTGATGCCCAGCTTGCATTCAACTTATGTATAATATCCCTGAACTCTTTCTCTTTACCATTGGTTTGCCTGTAGTCGTAATGATGTCCATTGTCATATCTGTTATTTTCTTCTTCTCCTCTTCCACCGTTAAGGGAAACTCGTTCTATCCAAGCCTCTAGGATTTTATTAATGGCCTTTGAAAGTTTTGAAGAGCTGCTACCACATTTCTGTCGCATTTCCCACAGCTGCCAGTGCAAACCTCTCTTTGAAAAAGGCAGGCGAGAGAGGAAGTGCCGGTTTCTTGAAACTGGATTTCCAGATAATTGGTAAGACGATTCTCGGAAAATCGGTTTTTGGAATAATTCTGCCAGATTCTTAAAGACCCCGTCAGTAGTCACGCATTTTTCGGACACCCAAAGGGTGTAGGACTGGTCAGGCACCTGGTCCATTTCAGGCTCCTCCTAAAGAGGGGAGAAGAGAAAGAAACTTTAAATGATAGCAGGAGATTTTTTTAACAACAAGAGAGACGTCAGGAAGAGGTGTAAGAGAGAAAATCATCTTAATTCATTTTTTAACTGTTATTCGATATTTCAGTGTATTGAAAAACTTTCGGAAGTATTTTAATTCACAGAAATCTTTTTTCAGTACCCTCCTAAAACTGAACTGGAGAATGCATTCATTAGACCGTCTATTTTTGTTCTGAGAAAAGAGAGAGAGAGAGAGAGAGAGAGAGAGAGAGAGAGAGAGAGAGAGAGACAGACAGACAGACAGACAGACAGACAGACAGACAGACAGACAGACAGACAGA